TTGAAAAAGAAAAACAAAGCTGGGGGCATCAAGTTGCCCGATTTCAAGCTATATTACAAAGCTGTGATCACCAAGACAGCATGGTACTGGCACAAAAACAGACATACAGACCAATGGAACAGAATAGAGAGCCAAGATATGGACCCTCAGCTTTATGGCCAAATAATCTTTGACAAAGCAGGAAAAAACATGCAATGGAAAAAAGACAGTCTCTTCAATAAATGGTGCTGGGAAAATTGGACAGCCACATGCAGAAGAATGAAACTCGACCATTCTCTAACACCATTCACAAAGATAAACTCAAAGTGGATGAAAGACCTCAATGTGAGACAGGAATCCATCAAAATCCTAGAGGAGAACATAGGCAGTAATCTCTTTGACATCGCCCACAGCAACTTCTTTCAAGATACATCTCCAAAAGCTAGTGAAACAAAAGCAAAAATGAACTTTTGGGACTTCATCAAGATAAAAAGCTTCTGCACAGCAAAGGAAACAGTCAACAAAACAAAGAGGCAACCCACAGAATGGGAGAAGATATTTGCAAATGACACTACAGATAAAGGGCTGGTATCCAAAATCTATAAAGAACTTCTCAAACTCAACACCCAAAAAACAAATAATCAAGTCAAAAAGTGGGCAGAAGATATGAAAAGACACTTCTCTGAAGAAGACTTACAAATGGCTCACAGACACATGAAAAAATGTTCATCATTATTAGCCATCAGGGAAATCCAAATCAAAACCACACGGACATACCACCTTACACCAGTTAGAATGGCCAAAATGGACAGGGAAAAAAACAAGAAATGTTGGAGAGGTTGTGGAGAAAGTGGAACCCTCTTACACTGTTGGTGGGAATGCAAGTTGGTACAGCCACTTTGGAAAACAGTGTGGAGGTTCCTCAAAAATTTAAAAGTAGAACTACCCTATGACCTAGCAATTGCACTACTGGGTATTTACCCCAAAGACACAGATGTAGTGAAAAGAAGGACCATATGCACCCCAATGTTCACAGCAGCAATGTCCGCAATAGCCAAACTGTGGAAAGAGCCAAGATGCCCTTCAACAGGTGAATGGATAAAGATGTGGTCCATATATACAATGGAATATTACTCAGCCATCAGAAAAGATGAATACCCAACTTTTACATCAACATGAATGGGACTGGAGGAGATTATGCTAAGTGAAATAAGTCAAGCAGAGAAAGTCAATTATCATATGGCTTCACTTATTTATGGAACATAAGGAATAACATGGAGGACACTAGGGGAAGGAAGGGAAAAATGGGGGGGGGGAATTGGAGGGAGAGATGAACCATGAGAGACTATGGACCTGAGAAACAAACAGGGTTTTAGAGGGGAGGGGGGAGGGGGGATTGGTTAGCCCGGTGATGGGTATTAAGGAGGGCATATACTGCATGGAGCACTGCGTGTTATACAAAAACAATGGATCGTGGATCACTACATCAAAAACTAATGATGTACTGTATGGTGACTAACATAATAAAATTAAAAAAAAAAAAGATATGTTTACTTTTTTCTGCTTTTTTCTTTTTACTGCTCTGTTTGGGTGAATTCCACTGCTCCCTCTTCAGGTTCACAGATCCTTTCTTCTGCCTTATCTAGTCTGTTGTTGAACCCTGTAGTGTACTTTTCAGTTCAGTTATTATATCCTTCAGCTCTGTGACTTCTACTTGGTATCTTCTTATACTTCTTATCTCTTGGTTGAAGTTCTTACCGTGTTCATCCATTCTTCTCCTAAGTTCAGTGAGCATCTTTATGACCATTACTTTGAACTCTTTATTAGGTAAATTACTTATCTCCATTTCATTGAGGTTTTTTTCTGAGCTTTTACCTTATTCTCGTTTGGAAAATATTCCTCTGTTTCTACTATTTTTTTTTACTCTCTTATGTTTGTTTTTATGCATTAAATAAAATAACCACCTCTCTTAGTCTTGAAGGAGTGGCCTTGTGTAAAAGATGAGCCTTATCATTTAACCTTGCCCTAGCTCTTGGTTGTCCTTCGAAACTCTGTGATTGTCCAAGCAGCCTATTTTATTTTTAATAACTCCTAGTAGATGAGGATGTGCCAAGTCCTGTCATTGTCCCAAAGGGAAGATCTCAGTCAGCACCTAGATTCATGTTGATTGGAAGCTAGACACTCAAGCAGCAGCTTTTAAAGTATACAAATATATATAGTCCTATGGGAATACAAGTATAAGCCATGGCCACCAGAGCCAGGCAATCTGGAGGTATACTAGGCAGCAGTTACAAAGACCAGGCTCTAGACAAATGCATAAGGTCCCTTCTAGGAGATACTGGAAAGCTGTAGTGAGGCAGAGGGAAAGCACAGAGATGGCCTCCACCAGTTTATGTTCCCTGAGAGCAACTTTACGGGTTCCTGGATGTGTGTCAACCTGAATCCTGTCCCTTATGCCAAAGCTCCAGGAAAAGCAAATAGGTAGAGAAATATTGTTTTAAAATGCTTTTCATTAAGATTTATGAACTATTTAATACCTAAAGTATCTTCTGTACACTCAATATTTTCTTTCTCTGAATATCACTTGCAAGCAACCTGCAAAGCCACTGGTTTTACCATCTACTCACTTGCATTTGTCTACCTCCTTTGTTGAGAATCAAACTCTGACTCCCAATTTTCATTTCTGTAATGACATAATTCCATTATTTTGGTTACATGACACATTTGTGTCACCTCTATAAAAATGATAAAGGAACAGCAGAGATCAAAAAAGATTCTTAGGGGGTGCCTGGCTGGCTCAGTTGGTGGAGCATGAGACTCTTGATCTCAGGGTTGTGAATTTGAGCCCCATGTTGGGTGTAGAGACTACTTAGAAAAAAGGAGATTTTTGTAATGACTAATAAAATGGTCAATTATACAGCAAAGCTGTATAAAAAACAAAGATGAAATATATAAATAAATGATATCAAAGAAATTAACTATAAATGACAGTTTAACCGGTAAGTACAGATTTAATAAGAAATGGATAGCAATGAATTTAAAAACAAATGACATTGTAAAAGAAAATATAGTTTATATAGATTCCTTTTGCCTGATTCTGAATAATGTAAATACAATGATATATATAAACACAGAATATAAGTGTAAACTGATACAATTACTTTGTAAAATCTTTGGCACCATCAACTAAAGCTGAACATGTGCATATATCCTATGACTTACCTATTCCACTCCCAACAGAAATGCATATATACGTTAAGCAGAAGATAGGTATTAAAATGTTCATAGTAGACTACCAAGTCCAGTAGCCCACTAATCATAGTAGACTTAAAAAGACTAAAAATGGAAACCACCTAATTGCTTATCTACAGTAAAATGATGCATATATTATGGTATGTTAATTCAAAGGAAGAGTATATAGCACTGAAACTAAACTGCAGCTACATGAAACGAGAGGATTAGTCAACTCTACCCATAGGAAAGAAGAGAGTTCAGAAATTGACACATCTATATATGGAAAAAAATATAATACCAGAAAAATAATAGAAAAACAATAAGTTGTTTAATAGGTGGTGGTTCATTATGTGGAGAAAGTAATGTGAATGCATACTTTATATTATATACAAATGGACCCCAGATGGATTCATGACCTGTATTTGAAAGGTCAGGATATAACACATATAAAAGAAAAAATAGGAGAAATACTCAACTCCGGCTAGGAAAAGATTTTTCATAAGACTCCAAAAAAGTAGAAAGTATGAGGTCAAAAAGCATGTGTGTGTGTGTAGTTTGGCTCAACAAAAGTCAGCTTTTTCTTAAAAAATAAAATATTCACAGACAACAGTAATGGTTAAATGAGTAGATGAGAGACAAGAAAATGAAATATTTAAAACCAACATTCAACTAATATAGAGGCTGGAATGTATACAGCACTCTGTAATCAACAAGAAAAGGGCACAAAATTAAATGGAAAATGGGCAAAAGGTATGATCAGGCAATTCAGAAGAGAAGCCTGCATAAATATGGGAAGAAATGCTCAAAATCACTAGTCATCAGAGAGCTGAAAATAATGACAGTGATAAGCTATTGCTTATAATAGTAATAAAATTGGTAATAAAAAAATAGAAAATTAGGGGTGCTTGGGTGGCTCAGTCATTAAGTATCTGCCTTTGGCTTAGGTCATGATCCCAGGGTCCTGGGATCGAGTCCCGTATCGGGCTCCCTGCTCCACAGGAAGCCTGCTTCTCCCTTTCTCATTCCCCCTGCTTGTGTTCCCTCTCTTGCTGTCTCTCTCTCTCTCTAATAAATAAAATCTTTAAAAAAAAAATAAATAAATAAATAAAAGAAAATTCAATAATACCAAACTTTGGTGAAGATGTACACTAGGTGACAGTAGAAGCTGTGATTGCCACTCAAGAGCAATCATGCAGAATTTAGTTAAATCAGTCATCTGCTCTCACTATATCCCAACTGAAAAATTACTGCACAGACCCATAAAAGGACATGTAAAAGGGCATTCATCACAGTGTTGTTTGCAGTGATAGAAAGCCATGTGTCCATCACTGGGGGGCTGTACAAATAAAACACACACATACTAGTAAGCAGGCAGCATTAAGAAATGAAATAGACAAAGTATTGAATAAAAAAAGTAATATAGAGAATGAAGTCTACAGCTTCAGTGGCCATTCATCCCAGTTTGTGGAGGCAGTTGCAATTCATATCTGTTGTCCCAGCATAAATATTAATAGCACTATCTTTCATTTTCAATAGTTTACACAGTATATTGTACGGCCACCCTATCTGTGAATATTAAATCACCAAAACTCTCAAAACCACACTACTTATGCTTGCTACATATATATTTAAGGACATTTATTGGCGAGGGGATTTATATTAGGATGATAAATGAGACAAAGGAAATGAAATAAAAATAAATAACTGTGCTATAATTGAGTATAAAGTACTGCTCTCTGCTTTAAGGTAGATAATAATACTATAGTTTGAAAAAATTACACACTTACAGTACTTCTGGTACTAAAAATGTGGTAGTTCGGGCTGTTAGTGGAATACCTGTGGAGGAAAAGTTCAAATATAAATATTAAAACTAATTTCTCCTCCAAATAAGAGGGATTCTATAGTAAACCCAGAAGCAGACATAAGTCTGGAGGGAAGTTTTGTATAGGACAGAGGTGATACTCAATAAATGGAGCTGGAAAATGGATCCGGATTCATAAGGAGAAAGAAATAATCGCAGTCCCACCTTAGATCATTTAAGAAAAGCAACTCCACTGGGATAGGAAATGTCAAAAACATTAATACTCTTAGTAGAAAATTTAGATAAATGTCTCTTAGATGTTGGCGAAAGGAAGAATTATTTAAATAAGACATCTACCCTGAATTCTCCACCCCCCCCAAAAAGCTAACAATAAAAAATCATTACATCAAATTTAAGAAATTTTGTCCTTTAAAAGAACACTTTACTAAGAAATAAAATTCAAGGAGCCTGTGACTTTACCATGGGAAACAATAACATCTTTGTCTTCACTAAATTCTCATTGGAAATTTAGGGAAGAGAACGAAATTTACCATTATGACCAGGGGTTGGCAAGCTACGGTCAAATTCCACCTGTAAATAGATTTTCTTTGACACAGAGCCACACCCATTGGTTTACTACTGTTGGGGGTGTGCATTCCCTTACCATGGCAGAGTTGGGTAGTTAAAACATAGATGGTATCACCTGAAAAGCCTGAAATATTTACTACCTGGCCCTTACAGAAAGTTTGATGACCTCTGGTGTACAACATAAAGTTTATGAAGTCCCTGAATTCACAGGCCATTCTTAATAATATCCCTTATCCTTACTTATTGATCCATTGTTTGCCAGGCATGTTCTGGGAGCTAAATATATCTTTGCATTCGAGCCTCACAACAACCCCATGAGACAGGTTTTCTTTTCTTCACTTTATAGAGGAGAAAATAGAAGCTTACAAAGTTCTGTCAGAATGCTACCTTTTTGCTTTTTCTCACTACTTCACTGACCCTTTCCAAGGCTACTCTTAACTCTGTTCGATGCCCCCAACCGTCCAATGAGGTGCCCTATATCCCTTTCCTCTGAAATCTCTGTAATAGTTTGATTGTCGGTATTCTTACATCTTAATGTTAGAGGGTAATAGTTATAGCAAAACCTCCACTGAATGGAATATTCACAGAATATTATTTTTCTGGTTAATTATCTATATTTTAACCTATGTTGAAAATCTTTCTAAAATATTTCAATACACTTTCCAATCCAGCAGTTACTAAATACTGAACAAAAATCACACTTGCACTGAGGATTTCTCAGAACTGTTAAATCCTTCGCTCCCTAAATCAAATCACAGAATCAACTCCCATTCCTCATGCAGGAATTACATCCCCTTACATTTGTACAGTGCTTACATTTTATAAAGCACTTTGTCATAAATCTTTCACACATCTGCCTCACATACACCATCACCTACCTAGTTATCCTAGAGAAGTGCCCTCGCCCCGCCTCCCTCCCCAGTGGCGACTTTTGGGCTCTCATTTGGTCCTCTCCTCTCCGGCAAAACAAGAGTGCAGCAGGAGGAAAGGAGTTTATGGGTGGGTTCACAGGGGCTCAGCTGTCCAGAGGACAGCGACGCGAAGTTATCCAGACCCTGGAGGAGCAAAGCCCTAAACCTGCTGCTTCATTCTCCGCCCTCATCCATCGAAAACTCTCGGAAGGGGGTTGCGGGGCGCGGGTGCTGGGCGCGGGGAGCCCGGGCTCCAGTCAGTGGTCTGCGGGGGCGGGTGGGTCAGGACGCGGGGGCGCGGGGGCACGGCCCCACGGGCGACCCCCGCCCGGTGCCCCGGGGCGCCAGTGGCGTCTCTCTACCTCCACACGGCCGAGCCGCAGCAGCTCAGCCACGACAGCAGGACCGCCACTCCCTGGGCTGACATGGCGCCCGGACAGCCTCCGCCCAACGGCCCAGGCCGCGCCCGTCCTGACCTCGCGCGCTCACGGGGGTCTCCGGCGGACCAGCGGAGAGAGTGCTGGGGGCCGCGCGCCCCGGGGAGGGGTGGGGTTGGCTTCCCCACCCGCGCGGGCTAGTGCGTGTGCGCATGCGTGCCAGCGCGCGCCGCTATCTGGCTCCCTAGGAACCTCGCAGTTGGTCGGAGTCGAAAACGTAAACCGGACTTCAGGAAAGGCAGAAATCATGCTGTTTTGGAGTGAAATAGCAAAACCACTTCGGAAAATCCCAGGTGACTGAACGAAGGTGAAGCTTTTAAGTTACGGTATCTTTTAGCCCAAATTTTCGTCCTGACTGTATATAAATACTGCGGTAACAAATACGTATCTGGTAGTGCTTTCCAGAATGAGGCATTCCATAAATGGTTTTTAAATTCAACGAAATGAACAGTAACGTGTACTTTTTGAGCACCTACTTTATGCCCAACACCACCCTGCGCACTTGAGTACAAAGAAATATGACAGCTTTCTGATTTACAAAGGGGTTTGTAATCTTGTGGTAAAGCCAAGATAAACAAATACCAAAATTGTCACATAGTATTATAATTTATATGTTTATTTGATGGTAGACCAAGTAATCTGAATCTTTGAGTGCTGCAACTATTATCTACTCCTCTTTATGTTATCAGGGCCCAGTACCATCATAGTTTGTTGTAGGTCCTCTATGTTTACTGACAACGAATGATTGAGTAAAACTAGTATCATACTAAAATACACTCTAGGGCCATTAGAGAACGTGATGGTGTGTACATGATGTATATGTAGTAGACCTTGCATTTAATGTGATTCTAATCCCAGTTTTTTTCCGAAGCAACTTTATATCGGAATTAGATGTCATAGTTAATTTGTGTTGCCGCAGTAGGTACAGTTTATTCAGGTACAGAATCTGGCTGCAACTGAAACACGAAGAGTAATGGAATATACAAAAAAGGTCTGGGCTCTGGATTGTCTCGGTACCAATTCAGCCTGCACTAGAGCAAGTTAACTAAGTTTTAAACCCTGTAAAATAAGGGTAAGATAGTGTTACTTACCTTATATCGTTGTGGGATTTAAAAGAGCTAAGTGTATCACAGTATTTGGCACAAACTATACATCACTATTGCCCTCCTCCTCTCTGAGCCCTGTTACTAATGTGTGAAATGAGAAGGGTTAGAACTTGAGCTGTAGATTTTCAGTTCTAATGTCCTCTATTGCTCTACTTTGGCGTATGCCCTTTTCGATCCCGGTTCCGTCTCTGTTCTTACTTGTAGACCTTTAGTTCCCAATTACGTTTCCATTCCATCCCATTTGTATTTTGGAATTCCACCCTCTGTATTTCGCACACGCTATCTCGTCGTGTTGTTAAAGGCAAGTCGTTAAAAAATAAAACGCCTTCAGAGGCTGAGACCTGTAGTCGGCAAACAGCATGGCACCAGAAAACGTCGCCTCGGCCCAGAGCGTTGCATGCCGGGAGTTGTAGTCCGACGCTCGAGCACGCACCTCCGCGCCTCCCGGTTTGAAAAGCGGGAGAAGGGCAGGTAGGCGGGGCGTTGAGGCGAAGTGCGCTAGAGGCCCCGCCCCTGCCCCTTCCGCTCGCGGGGCTCGCCCTGGGGTGGTGCGCCAGGCTGCGGAAGGGGCGTGGCCTCGGTCCCGGGTGGCGGCGGTTGCCGCCACCGGGGCCTCTTCCTGCGGGCAGTTCTGCGGCGGCCTGCCTGCGCGGGGCAGTCATGGTCGCCCCTTGAGTGGGCTGTGGAGGAGAGCGGGGCGGGGCCTGGCTGGAGGGTGGTGGCCCGGCGGGGGCGGGGCCGGACTCTGGCTCCTTTTTCCTCCGCATGTGGCTGGCGGCCGCAGAACAGTTCAGTTCGCGCACTCTTCGCCGCCCGCGTCTCTTTCGGGCTCTCCTCGCGTCACTGGAGCCATGGCGTTCGCCGAGACCAACCCGGCGGCATCCTCCCTGCCCAACGGTGACTGTGGCCGCCCCGGGGCGCGGCCCGGAGGGAACCGGGTGACGGTGGTGTTGGGCGCGCAGTGGGGCGACGAAGGCAAAGGGAAGGTGGTGGATCTGCTGGCGCAGGACGCCGACATCGTGTGCCGCTGCCAGGTGAGGTAACCGGGATCTGACGGGAAGCCGGGCCCGAGAGCCCGGGCGCGGAACCCGGATCCGTCGTCCCAAAGAAGGTGTCACCTTGAGGTTCTCTCCTGCTCGGAGCTGCGGCGACGTGGAGAAATGGCGGGAGGTCAGAGACCCCTGACCTGAGGTCTTGGGCTGAGGGGTTGCGGTGGCGCTGGAGGAAAACCAGGGTTGACCCGGAGTCTTTGAGGGACGCGCGATGACTGGGGAGTTGCAGTTTTCCGTCTGGGGGCCAGTACCCAGCCCCGAGCTTGGGGCGGGGGTGGGGGCGGGATGCGGTTTGAGTTTGAGGAGCTGCTGCGCGAGGCCTGCTCCCGACTCCCGGCGGAGACCCCGCGCGGCCACAGAACCACCCCATCGCGCTCCCACCCACCCACCGAGCGAGACCGAGTGGGAATGGATTGTTCCGAAGCGCCCGAAAACCCACTCGCCACTCCCCCCCACCTGCAGGCCCCCAGCATTCAGACCTTTGCCTCCTCCGGTCCACTTTGTTGACACGAGAACCCACCTCCGGGCTTTGGACGGTTAATGGCCCCGGTTTTTGACTCCGTACCCCGCGTATTAATATTAAGGGTAGATTATTTTTACTTGTTGGTCCCAGAGGAAAGAATCCCCGCTCTTTTGCGAGTGAGGCAAGTAAATACGTGGATGTCAAATCTGGTATTTAGAAATATTTACATTGTTACGCTCACATGGAAAGTGAACTTTCGGGAAATGGATTGGTAATGTACTTCCTACGGGGAGACACGTGGTTTTCAGTGTAAGCTTTCTTCCTATTTGTCGCTTGCTTTGAAGCAGCCTCTAGGCTACGCCTTTGTAAAGGCTCTTAGATAACTATTGCCAATTTCAAAATTCGAAATAGTTGAGCAATAACCACTTTCAGAACAAGTTGTAATATATCTGAAACTGTTTACCTCGCAAGAGGATTTCTTCTTCATGAACATGGCACAATATGATGATGCCATGCTGTATATGTTCTAACAAGTTAGTAGGCCTGCTTCACTGAAAGCTTTCCACCTGAAACTGATTATCATTCTGAGCACGCAGAAACAAGGTAATCACAAGTACAGAAATGCTAAATGCAGAGATTCTGATTTGTCTTGTTTTTTTGCATGCAGAAACACCCTGCCCATTTCTTAGCTAAGATAGGTGTTGCCTCTTAGTATTACCCCTAGCACCCCACCACCTTTCCCCACCTTCGGATCTCTGTTCCTCCACCCCTCTGGGGACACACTTACCTTAATACCTTACTCCTAAGCGTGTTTCCATTGAAGTCCTGCCCTTACACTGCCTAAGGAGCTGCTCCGCAAGCCAGTTTTCACCTTACTTTTGCCTTAAAATCAGAACTGGCCGTGTTATAGGGAAAGAAGTACGAGAATACCTAACACTTGCGGGTAGAAAGGGAGAGAGGCTGGTCCTATTTGTCCCCTTCCATGTCGTTCCTGACCTCTTCCTTTCCTGGAAATAGTAATACTTAGGCTGAGTTACATTATGGGTTGTAAGAAGGTGTGGGAAATATAGCGATCAATAACATTTATTCTAAAAGATCCTCGATTTTAGTATTTCTTTGAAAAGTAGTAGAATTAGTTTGTAGATTGGAGAAGGTGTTACTATGTTATCGTGAACATCCTCTTGAAGAAGGTCATGGACCAATCTCATCTGTTGGAAAGCCTAGAGAGAAGTGATTGAGAAGGAGCCAAGTTTGGCTTTAAACTGTTACCTGAAGATAGAGGAGGAACATTTGAGCGAACCTGTTAGGCAGACTTTCCTCTTCTGTAAACTTTGACTTTCTGCACACTTTATATAATTCTAAAATCTTTATATTCTAGTGCCTTTTAAGAACTCATCATTAGAAGGATTGCTACTAGTTTTGTTAGTGAAAGTAGACACAGAATGAATAGATTGAAGGATCTCTCTTGTGATTCACCTTGGTAACTTTATATTAATTGGCCAGCTCTAGCAAGCTGACTTCTCCTTAATGAACTTCTCCTGACTTATAAAACTGAAGACTATGGAATGTTGAAATTTTTAGTGTGTGTAGAGCGCTGGGAAAGTCAGCATTAGAAAAGACATTTTAAGCTTGAATTGCCTTGTTTGATGATTTAAGTTCTGTGTATTACTGAAAATAGGTATTTGTTAGAGCTTAATATGTGTTTTTGGTCATATTCATGCCCCAAACTCAAATTTTATGCAGATTTTTCTAGAAGTGGTATACACATAATGTATCCATAGTTTAACAATCGAATCATAAGAAATTTTTTCCAAAATAAAGTTTTTAAAAGAAAAACTGATATTGTATTTAACTATATTTTTTAAAATTTTTTATTATGTTAATCACCATTTAACTGTATATTTTAATATATCAAATGCCTTTTGGAAAGAATAGATGCAAAGCTCGTGGCATTTTCATCATCGATGCACTTAAGGCCTATATTTCAGATTCAGGATTTATATGCAGTTATTTATAATTTGGTAAATTCTCTAGAACCAAAAATACGTGTGTAGAACTTACATCAAAGGACTACCACTAGAAACATCTTAATTTCAAATTGATGTCTTTTTTTTTTTTTTTTGTCTAAAGATTTTATTTATTTGACAGAGAGATAGAGAGCCCAAGTAGGCAGAGAAGCAGGCAGATGGAGAGGGAGAAGCAGGCTCCCCGCAGAGCAGGGAGCCCAATGAGGGACTCGATCCCAGGACCCTGGGATCATGACCTGAGCGGAAGGCAGCCGCTTAACCGACTGAGCCACCCAGGCGCCCCAAATTGATGTCTTTTAAGTAAAAGAAGTATAGGACCAACTCCAGGCCTAGTTCATTTATCCAACAATCACATAATGAGGATCTACAAGTGATACTCTTAGGGGAACTGCTTGGCCCCAGAGTTAAGCTGAAAAAGGCAGGGATTGTGCCCACAAGGAGTTTACAGTCTACTGGACAACAGCTACATAAGCAAGTATTGACAGGGTGGGGGTGGAGAGGGTACTAGTTTTTCAAAGGGTTAAGGTATGGGCAG